GAGGATGAGGTCAGGATTTTAAAAAGATTCCCAGGTGATTCTAATGTGCAGCCAAGGTTGAGAACCACTGCTCTAGTCTACTAGTCTATCCCTGTATATTATTCTTTATTTAAGTCAGTATATACTTAATTTCTGACTGGTCCTTTTCCATTTTTTTGGCATTCTCACTAAGATCCTTGAGGGTCTCACTAAGTTCCTTGGAGGTTTCTAGAAGATACTTGAGTAACCTTATAACTGTGGTTTTGAACTCTATATCCAGTAGTTTGCTTTCTTCCATTTCTTTCATTTGTGACATGTTTATTTGTCTCCACATTTTGGCTGCTTCCCTGTGTTTGTTTCTATGTATTGCGTAGCTGCTAAGTCTTCTTGAGTTGATAGAGTGGCCTTGTGTCCTGTAAGTGGCTCAGCCTCCCCAATCACCTGAGGGGGACACTCTTGGTGCACCCCTTTGTGGGCTGTGCACAGTCTTGTTGTAGTTGAGTCTTGATTGCTATTGGTATCACTGGGAGGAATTGACCTCCAGGCCAATTGGCTATGGGGACCAGCTGCGACTACAGTGGGAGAACTGCTATGCAGGAGACACCCTTATGGGGCAGGACTTGCTTCAGTGGGGCTTTGGTGCTCACTGAGTCTGTCACTTATGGATGTGAATAGTTGTAATCTGGTATGGTCTTGCACTGACCACTGGGTACACTGGCTCTTGGATCTCCAAGGTAGTGCAAAGTCAGCCACTGCCTGGAGCCATCGAGGCGGAGCTACAGAGTGATCTGCAGATTCCTCCTCTTTGTATGGGTTTGGAAGTGTCCAGATGAGGCCCAGCTGTGAAGCAAGGCAGGCTGGTGCTGGTGTGGCCTTGGGCCTTCTTTTGATAGCTTTGGGGCTCCCTTAGCCCAGCTGCAAGCTTGTTTGACAAGTTTTAGGCTGAGAAAGGACAGGCCATTCATATGCAAAAGCCTCTGCACACAGCTTGGATGGGGTTGTAAATTGGGTAGGGCAGGGTCTCAGGGAATCTCCAGGGCAGAGCAAAGAGCAATGGCTGCCAGTCAGTCCTGTACCAGAGAGGTCCCAGCACAAGAACAATGACTGTTGCGAGCACCTCTATCTGGAAGAAAGCCACCCTGCATTCCTACCCTGATGTCAGACAGTCCAGTTTCTCCCTGTAAGTGTCTGGATGCCCCTGAGTCTCGCCCGGCACTGGAGCTCAGAGCAAGCAGGAGCTTGTATCTCCCTTCCGATTAAAAAAGTGGCACATTCAGGTGCCAGCCTGTTCTGCGCTTCCGCACCTCCTACCAGTCTCAATGCGCTTTCTTCGTTACCTCTCTAGTTGTAGTTCTTCCACTCAGCCAGTCTTCCCACAGTTCTGGATGATAGTTGTAATATTCATGTGATTGCAAGTACATATGTTTACCTATGCCACCATCTTGGTTCCTGTCTGGGGAAGTCTTGATTTCTCCCTCATTTTTGAAGGATAGTTTTGCAAGATACAGTATTCTTCTTGATTGCATTTTTTTCTTTCAGTCCTTTGAATATGTCATTATACTCCTCCCCCCAACCTGCAGGCTGTTTGGTTAGAAATTTGCTGATGATCTGATAGAAACTACTTGTATGAAATGAGTCATTTAGATGATCTTTCTCTCTCTTTGTTGTGACTTTTGACAGTTTGATTATTGATGTATCTTGGTATAGATCCCTTTAGATATTTTTCTAGTTGGAGTTCTTTAAGCTACTTGAATTTATATGTCCATTTTTTCCTTCAGATTTTAGAAAATTTCAACATTTCTTCAAGTAAATTCTCTTCCCCTTTCTTTGTTCTCCTTTTTGGATTCACATAATGTGTATGTTGTTCTGCTTCTTGATATCTTATATATCCCATAGGCTTGCTTCACTGTTGTTGTTTTTTAAGCTTTAATTCTTTTCCCTTCTTTGTCTCAGTAAATTTGAATATCCTGTATTGAGTTTGCTGAATCTTTTCTCTACTTGGTCAAATTTGCTCTTGAGCCCCTATAATGAATTTTTTCAATTAAGTTACTGCATTCTTTAGTCCAGAATTTCTATTTTGTTTTTCTTCATGGTTTATATATTTTTATTGATATTCTCATGTTGTTCATGCATCATTTTCCTGATTTTGTTTAGTCGTCTGTCTATACTTCATTTTAACCCATTACACATCCTTAAAATGATAATTTTGAATTATTTGTCTGGCAATTCATATACTGTATTTTGGTTTCTTTAATTCTAGTTTTTTGATATTTAATTTACTTTTAATATTTGATGGTTTTCTTTTTTCTTTGTCCTGGGAGGACATAACCTTTACCTGGTAAAATAATCTCCTTCAGTCACTTCCTTGTAGAGATTAACCTAGAGGGGTTTAAACTCAACAGAACTAGATTAACAAACACCCTGACCTTTGGAACAGAATGGATAGGATGAAAATCTACTGGTATAAATACAGATGTAACAAGACAATAAAGACGTAACTTGACGCCAAACCGGTTTGGCTCAGTGAATAGAGCCTCATCCTGCAGACTGAAAGGTCCCAGGTTCGATTCCCGTCAAGGGCATGTACCTTGGTTGCGGGCACATCCCCAGTAGGAGGTGTGCAGGAGGCGACTGGTCGATGTTTCTCTTTCATCGATGTTTCTAACTCTATATCCCTCTCCCTTTCTCTCTGTAAAAAATCAATAAAATATATTTTAAAAAAAAAGACGTAACCTGAGACTGAGTGTTTCCAAAATGGCGGCAGCTAAGGATGTGGATACCCCGAGCGGCACCAACAGCGGCGCGGGCAAGAAGCGCTTTGAAGTGAAAAGCTTGAAAGCAGTAGCCCTCTGGTCCTGGGACATTGAGGTTGATAACTGTGCCATCTGCAGGAACCACGTTATGGATCTTTGCATAGAATGTCAGGCGAACCCGGGATCTGCCACTTCTGAAGAGTGCACCGTCGCGTGGGGAGCCTGTAATCATGCTTTTCACTTGCACTGCATCTCTCGCTGGCTCAAAACACGGCCCGTGTGTCCGCTGGACAGCAGAGACTGGGAATTCCAAAAGTACGGAAAATAGAAAAAGAATATTCTCCATCAAGCTCAACTGTTTTGTTATTCATTTAATGACTTGCCCTCCTGTTACTTCATTGTAAGTTAGATAGAACGGGGTCTTTTCCAATTTGTCTTTTCAGTTTGCTATTCCTGCAGTCCTATC